AGTGCTACCCTTTCTACAAAATTTCCCTTCCTGCTCTATCAGGCGTCGAAATCGTCGCTTGCCAAATAAATGTGAAGAACAAAGATCTTTGCATAGCTTCAGTATACGTTCCACCAAGAACCTCCATTAGCCGTAGTCAACTCTGGAATCTAGTTTCGATTCTTCCATCCCCAGTATTAATTCTGGGCGATATGAACTCCCATGGTACTGGGTGGGGCGATCTATATGACGACAATAGAGCGGCTATTTTTTACGATTTATGTGACGATTTCAATTTGACTATTTTGAACACTGGTGAAGCGACACGTATAGCAAAACCTCCGGCTCGAGAAAGCCGACTCGACCTATCTTTGTGTTCAAGATCGCTATCATTGGATTGTCAGTGGAAGGTTATCAATGATCCCCATGGTAGCGATCATTTGCCAATCATCATTTCAATAAAGTGTGGCCCTCACTCTGCAGAACCATCTCGGGTTCCATTTGATCTTACAAGGAACATCGACTGGCAGAAATATGCAACGGCGGTGACAATCGGTGTCGAATCAATAGATGCGCTTCCACCATTGGAAGAATATCGATTCCTAGCCGATTTGATTTACAAAAGCTCACTGGAAGCACAAAAAAGAAAAGTTCCAAGTGCACCCTTTAAAAGGAGACCAGCCACACCTGGTTGGGACGAAGAATGCACAAAATTGTATGTAGAAAAATCTGATGCTTTCAAAGCTTTTCGTAGACACAAAACCTCCACTTACTTCGAGGAATATTCAAAGCTTGAGACAAAGCTGAAACAATTAATCAAAGCAAAAAAACGCGGTTATTGGCGCAATTTCGTCGAGGGACTCTCACGAGAAACCTCAATGAACACCTTGTGGAGGGTGGCTCGCAACATGCGTAACCGCTCATCTTTCAATGAGAGTGAAGAATACTCCAACCGATGGATATTCGATTTCGCTAAAAAGGTCTGTCCGGACTCAGTTCCAGCACAAAATATTCTTCGAGAAGCGTCTCCGAGCGGCAGCTCTCTGGATAGACCATTCACAATGCTGGAATTCTCTATGGCTCTTCTTTCATCGAACAACTCCTCACCAGGAAGCGATATGATTAAATTCAATCTTCTGAAAAATCTCCCAGATATCGCTAAAAGACGCTTGCTAGACTTATTCAATTCCTTACTAGAAAACAACATTATACCGCCTGAATGGAGACAGGTCAAAGTAATAGCCATTAAAAAACCTGGCAAATCAGCGTCTGACCATAACTCATACCGTCCGATTGCTATGCTTTCGTGCATTAGGAAATTGTTGGAGAAAATGATCCTTCGGAGACTCGATCACTGGGTCGAATCAAATAACTTGCTATCAAATACACAGTTTGGGTTCCGCAAGAGCAAAGGAACAAACGATTGTCTAGCGCTGCTTTCCACAGATATTCAACTGGCCTTTGCGTACAAGGAGCAATTGGCTTCAGTATTCTTGGATATTAAGGGGGCTTTTGATTCAGTTTCCATTGAAATTCTGTCAGACAATCTGCACAGATGTGGACTTTCTGGAATTTTAAATAATTTCTTGTACAATTTGTTGTCAGAAAAGCAAATGAACTTTTCTCTTGGAAAACTGACAACTTCCAGAATTAGTTACATGGGCCTGCCCCAAGGCTCATGTCTCAGCCCTCTTCTTTATAACTTTTATGTCAAAGATATCGACAACTGTTTGGCAGAACAATGCACGCTAAGACAACTTGCAGATGACGGTGTGGTTTCCGTAAGAGGTCCACATGCCGTGGACTTGCAAGGACCATTGCAAAATTCCTTAGATAACTTGTCTTCTTGGGCTATGAATCTAGGGATCGAATTCTCGCCGCAGAAAACTGAACTGGTAGTGTTTACTCGAAAGCGGTACCCAGCCCAAATGCATCTTAATCTTTTGGGCAGAAACATTACTCAATCATTGTCTTTCAAGTACCTTGGGGTCTGGTTTGATTCAAAGTGCACTTGGAATGCCCATATTACGTATTTGAAGCAAAAATGTCAGCAGAGGATCAACTTTCTCCGTTCAATTTGCGGCACATGGTGGGGTGCTCATCCGGGAGACCTCATAACGCTTTATAAAACAACTATTCTCTCTGTTCTAGAGTACGGCTCTTTCTGGTTTCTCTCGGCAAGAAAAAGTCACCTAATAAAATTGGAACAAATTCAATATCGTTGTCTGCGTATTGCTCTAGGCTGTATGCACTCAACGCATAACATGAGTCTCGAGGTTCTGGCAGGAGTAACACCCCTCCAGAACCGTTTCTGGGAGCTCTCTCTCAGAATACTAATCAAATGCGGAGTGACAAACACACTTATAATTGCTAATTTTGAAGAAATTCTTGGGTTGAACACACAATCTCGATTTATGAGAATCTACCACCACTACATATCATCAGATATGTGTCTTCCTTGTTATACTCCAGACCGTGTTCACTTCACCAATCGCAGTTCCTCAATTGAATATGATCTGACCATGAAACAAGCAACTCATGGGATTCCCGATCAACTTCGACCTATTATTATCCCACGTATTTTTACTGAAAAGTACCAACAAGTCAATTGCATGAAAAGATATTTTACAGACGGGTCCCGTCTCAATGGATCCACTGGCTTCGGTGTCTTCAATGAAAACTCTAGCGCCTTCCGCAAACTTCAGGAACCTTGTTCCGTTTTTGTTGCTGAGCTGGCAGCAATCAACTTCGCATTGGGGATGATTTCCAATATGCCCACAGACCATTACTTCATCTTCTCGGATAGTCTCAGTTCGATTGAGGCTATTCGGTCGATGAAACAAGGTAGGCACTCATCTTATTTCCTTTCAAAGGTAAGGGAGCAGATGTGTGTGCTGGTCGAAAGATCATATATGATTACCTTTGTATGGGTCCCCTCACATTGCTCAATCCCAGGCAATGAGAAGGCGGACTCTCTCGCAAAGGTGGGCGCGCAGGAAGGCGAATTGTATGACAGGCAAATTTCACACGATGAATTTTACCATTTAGTGCGTCAGAGTACCTTTTCGAGTTGGGAAACCGATTGGGACACTGGAAATCTTGGACGGTGGTTACATTCAATTATTCCTAATGTTTCTTCGAGAGCGTGGTTTAAAGGCTTGGGCTTAAGTCGTGACTTCATTCGCGTGATGAGTAGACTTATGTCCAACCACTACTCGCTAGATGCTCATCTCAATAGAATAAACCTCGTGGACAGCAACATCTGTCGGTGTGGAAACGGTTACGATGACATCGAACACGCAGTTTGGCAATGTACGGATAATGACGCCGCCAGAGAGCGACTTTTGAATACCCTCGAGGCCCAAGGAAGACAACCCTATGTTCCTATCAGAGACGTGTTGGCAACCCGTGATCTCTGCTATATGCAGTCCGTTTATGTTTTTCTTCAAATGTCTAGTATAAGAATTTAATTCCTTTTGTCTTTTGTCTCTCTTTATTAGTTTTTGTTTGTCTTGTCCCCCCGTCTCGATGAGTCTCATCGTCGCCCACTGGTCACCCACCATAGCCGGTCGAACTCCGGACGAAGCTAGAACAGCACTACCGTTCATACTGGCGACAACGCTCTGATGAGACAACGAAACCCTACCCCAAGCTCCTCCCCTGATCCTATCCTTCGAAAATGTACCCTTCTAACCTCGAGTAAGCCGCGAGTAATCGGCCCAACTCCTACTAGACATAGAATTAAGTGAATTTTGTTACACACAGTGAACAATGAATTATCGGCTCCGTAAAGCTAACGCGATTGAGCCTTCCAAATAAACGAACTAGATAAAAAAAAAACTGGGTCGCGAATGCTGAGCTCTATCGTCGATGTAATCTGAATCCAATATCAACTGAAATTCGAAAACGTAAGTGACGGTGAGTCAGTCACACACTACGAAGGGGTGATAATGGGATGAAACAAAAATTGCAAGCAAGCGCTGGATTAGAATCCAGCCTAACATTGCCGGCGAGGCAAACACAGAGCTAATGGCGGTGGAGTCTCATTAAGAAAATGTGGGTACTTTCCATGAAATCGAGAGACTTTAATTTCCATGTTCCTTTGTCTATTCCGATTGTTTTGGTATTTACATGGATTATTTCCTGTACCATTGTGGACTATCGATGATCAGCCATGGAGAAGAGAACAGACGCTGGGGATGTATGAGCCGGGCACTTTGAAGAGGGGTATTTCCCCTTCCATAGCAGCATACGATAAGGGCCCATCAGGGTTGGTTATGCTGGAGGTTGCTGGGTTGGATTCCCGGTCCGGTCTAGGAATTTTTCGGGTTGGAAAATTTCTGGACTTCCCTGTTCATACACACTCATCGAGTCAGTACGGTTTTACTGAGTTTTTGAATTGCGGAACTGTTCGGTAAAAGTTTAAATATCTGTGGAAAATGTATTAATGAGAAAATTTGTTCTGAACTTGTACATACTTAGTTTTGTTAACCCCATTTAATGATAGAAAATATAATTGGTCGATTTCATTGATTCCTTACGGATAACGGTCATTTGAATTTTTACCGACTTTTTCAGCAATTCAAAAACCCAGTAAAAAAATACTGACTCATGTAAAAAAATCTTAGTGTGTAGAGAGTGATTGTACTTGCCACACAATTATATTAATGCAAAAATGATACAGGCATCGAAGCCCTCAACTAATAACTGTGGAATTGCATCGGGAACACTAAGTTGAGAGTAAGCAATAAGCTAACATGCGATTAGTAATAAGTTTGGAATGCGAAGAAGCAGAATACTAAGAGGAAGAAGAAGAAGGGATGGTTACCTATATTTCTTATGGTTGCAAACTAGTGATTACTGTTGTGATCAATTTCTGTTCTATGGTAAAGTGATAACTTATCAATTGAGCTGACTCAAACTCAGGTCACGGCTTTCCTCAAAATGTTTATTATAATCGCAACTCTAGTTGTATACTTACGGCAATCGAAAGTTAACCTGCTGATCATATTTTGTTTTAGGTATGCAAGGAGGAAGAAGAAGCCATCCGTGTAGAACTGCACGAAAGTTGTGGTCGAGCCAAGCTGTTCTGGCTGCTGGCCCTTGTGGACTCGAAGACGCTAAAGGGAATGCTCGAGTTCCGCAACGGTAACAATACACTCGTGTGTGATCCACCGAATGCAATCGGGATGTGCCGCTTCTGTAGCGTAACTGGCAGCACCGGACTGTTGGCGGTTGGAAACGTGTGCGTGGATCAGCAATGTCAGGAGTACGCGGCAAATGCGTGCACCAAAGTACACCACTGTGGTCATTTATGTGGCGGTATTGTCAACGAAGAGAAATGTCTGCCATGTTTACAGCAAAAGTGTCTGACGTCAGAGAACAAAGATAGCGGAAAAGAGCCCAAACTTACACAGGATGCGGATGATATGTGTATGATCTGTTTCACCGAGGCCCTTTCGTCGGCTCCATCAATCCAGCTAGATTGTGGACATGTGTTCCACTTTCACTGTTGCAAAGCCGTACTGACGAGGCGGTGGAATGGTCCAAGGATAAGCTTCGGTTTTTCGCAATGTCCTATTTGTAAGATGGATATTCAACATTCTGCTCTGGGAGACACTTTGGAATCGATCGTATCGCTGAAGGCTGACGTCAAACGGAAGGCTCTCATGAGACTGGAATACGAAGGGTTGGCAAAGAACTTGGACAGTAAGGATTTGGCTGCCTATGCCATGGAACGATATGCGTACTACGTTTGTAGCCAGTGTGAGAAGGTTAGTAGAAAAAAAATCATTGTTTGAAGAATAATCGTGTTCATGAGTCACGTTTTGTTTTGTATTTTCAGGCGTATTATGGAGGAGAAGCACGCTGTGACGCCGAACTCGGAGAAAACTACAATCCCCAAGAGCTTGTCTGTGGTGGTTGCAGTGATGTTGTTAAAGCTAAGGTATGAAGAATCTTACTATCAAGATTCCGGTTGTACCGGTATCGCAATAACAATGGGTACACATTTATTTGTTGCAAACAGTCAGATTCAAATATAAAAGTTGGATTTTTTTTAAATTAGACTTAGATTGTTTTGTTTTTTCAAGCTTAGATACATTTTCAAGCATCTGGAACTAAGATGTTGAATGTTTAAATATTGTTAAGATCCTTGATTTGGAAATAGATTCAAGATTCTGGCCCTATAAACTTTTCAAAACATTGGGAGTTGTAAGAAATTTTAGGATTCTGGCAGTTAGTTCCATGATAAAATTCTAGGCAATTCTGTGCAAAATGCCAAGGGAATTTGTCTAAAAATTTCAAGTGAACTATGAAGCGAATTCCATGACTTTGAAGAACTCCAGGCGTATTGTGAAGACAATTTCAAGGAGAATTCTATGGTGATTCTGAGGATAACTCTGTTGAGATCTAGGAGAATTTTAAGGAGAAATCCAATGGAATTTGTGATAAAATGTTAAGGGAATCTTGAGAATAGCTTCTAATGAATATTAAGGATGTTTCCGAGTGGATTGAATTCTGAGCATAGTTCCATCCAAAGGAATTTCTTAAAATAATTTCAGTCCAAGTTTCAGGGAAATTCAGAAGATATTTCCAAAGGAATACTGATAAGAATTCCGAGGAGAGATCATAAATTGAAAATCGGAGTTTTATTCAGGTTCAAGGAAATGATGAACAATAATTCATGGAATTTTTGGAAGTATTATTAGAACATTTTTAGGAGATTATTTTACTGATTTTCGAACTGTTCACCAAACGTTCAGCTATTGAGATTTCGGTAAAATTTCACATAAATCTGTGAAGTAATCTTAGTGTGTATGGGATTTAAAAAATTCCCAAGCGATTATCAGCGATCCAAGAAAATTCGGAGTTAAATCAAAAAAAAAAAAAAAAAAAAAAATAACCGGGCAGTTTGGAGACATTTTCCAGCTTAATTCCAGAGAATTTAGAAGATACATTTGAGTAAAATTCTTGTGAAAATTATTAAGGATTCGAAGACAACTCAAAACATAATTTCAAGAATTTTTGGCAGGCATTATTATACAGGTTATGTTATGAAAGAAATGATAAGGTAATACCAGATAAAATCTAGGAAAAGTCTGATGAGAACTTTGAGGAAATTCTAGGATGGCACAAAATAGGGAGATTCTTCAGAAGATTTCAAACATACCTTGTGAAGAGCAATAAGATTCCCTTGCGGAATCCAGTAGGTAGATTTTTAACAAACGTGGGACAATTGTGAAAGAATTCATATCTCCACTTTTAGTTTTAACTGTATAAATAAAACTGTAATATTTTCCTCTTGGTTTACAGATGTGCCCGAAGCATGGAACAGATTTCCTTGAATACAAGTGCCGCTACTGCTGCTCGGTGGCAGTCTTCTTCTGCTTCGGAACGACACACTTTTGCGATACGTGTCACGATGATTTCCAACGATTAACCAATATACCCAAGAATAAGCTGCCCAAATGTCCAGCTGGTCCGAAGGCAAAACAATTGATCGGCGAAGAATGTCCACTGCACGTAATTCATCCAGCTACGGGGGAAGAGTTTGCACTTGGCTGTGGCATCTGCCGTAATGCTCACACATTCTGAGAGCTTTAATTAGTACTGATCCAATAGATAATCGTCGAAATAAAATGAGGTTAGTTTATAGTTTTGTTGATGCTTTTAGATAACTGTTTTTGCTAGTATTATTTTTGAAACAGTATGAGATTCTCTGGATCTTAGATCTCTTGTTGTAACGATATGCGATACGTATTTATAGATCTAACAAAAATCTTAGTCAGAAACACAGGAGGCTTTCTTTCTTTTAAACCGTAGAGTGGGAGTGATACCTACCAGATCTCAAAATGTATCGATATTGAATATTTTCACGAAATATTTATTCTGTTATGTACACTTTAGTAACAAAAAATCTGGCTACCGTAAATAAAATATAACAGCTGTATCTTAATTACCACTCCAATTCCACTGTCTCTAACACATGAATAAATTCTCGAAAATTTTTAAACACATGATTTGGATTTACTTCTGGATCGAAAGAAACGCCCTGTTCGACCTCGCGATCAACATTAACTAATATGCTGGACCAGCCGGCTTGTTTCGCTCCGATATAGTCCAACTTTGGAGTATTCCCAACGTGCAGTGCTTCACTAGGAAGCACTTGAGTATTGCATAAACCCAAGGCAAAATCGAAAATCTTACAACTAGGTTTCTGAGCTCCTGCTTCGTAGCTCGTCACTATAAAATCAGCCTTCGGTATGTTCATAGCCTCAAGGATGCATCCCAATCTCGGATCAAAGTTGGAAATTATTCCTACCTGTTTCATTTGTGCTCGCGCCAATGCGATCATCCCATCGGCCATCTCAATCTTCGTCCAGCAGTCCTGGGTTTTGTAGTCTTCAATCAGCTGATCAGCAACACGTCTGAGCATCACCTCGTCAAGGTGACCGTGGGAATCACGGAATATGTCCATCACCAGCGTTCGCCACCACCATCGCCAGTCGTACTTTGAACAGCGGCCAAAGTTTGGATAGTCACGCGCCATTCGTTTGAAATGCGACCGAAAGCAATTGGCCAGCGCTTTTTCACAAACATCGGGGCACCCAAGTTGACGGGCTGCTATGGCATATTGGATTTCCGGGGGTCGAGAGAATTTCAGCAAGGTATCCGTCACATCAAAGGTTATTAGCTTGAAACGAGCTAAGTTCTTGGCCACAAATCGTGAGCTGATGTTCATTTTTTTTTCTGATTGTGATAACAAAGGGATGTTTTTTTATCAGTCATTCAGGAACAAATAAGCGAACTTACCTTCGAGAACACTGGATTCAAAGTTATTACGTGCAGTAGTTTCTAATTTCTAATTTATTAACACAGCATGTTTACGATAATTTCTACTTAAGCTTTTACATTGGGATAAATGATTGTTGGATAGCACCAGCACATTACATTTACATCACAGCACAACAAACCATTGTGAACTCACTTTGTTTACGTTCCTACGAAGTATGATAATATTTTTGAAGCCGGCGGATCTCATTGAAATATAAACAGGTGAGGCCCAGAAAATTTGTCTTCTCTTTTGTTCTTTCGCTGTTTGAATCATCAATCGTTTGATGACGTCATACTCTGCAATCTATTTAAACAGCCGAGGACAAAAGAGATAACACATTCTCTGGTTCTTACCTGTTTACATTCATTGGGCGGATCTCGACCCCTCGGCAATAAACGTCACTATGATGTTCGTTTTGGTGCTTGCACTGATGCATACATCAAGGCGGATAACGTTGCCCTAATGTTGCATACATTAAATCAAGATAGTTTGCAAGTTTAAGGGGAAGCTCACCGCTCCGAAAAAAAATAATTACGTTTTAATTTTTCTAAAAATATTGGTAAAAGGTACCAAAATCTAAACAAATCACATTTATTTTTTTTATTTTTCAAAGAAAATTCACGTGCAAAAACATTTTTTATAAGTCATTATGGCATAAAGTTGGACTCAAAAAACCACAAAACATCGACTTTTCGGTTTTGCTTAGTGTCTAATTTTTTGAGATAGAAAAAATATTTTTACATGTAGTTTTTGACAAAAATCTAAGAAAGAAACTGATTTTCTTGGATTTTTGATATTTTTTTCGACAATATTTTTAGAAAATTTAAAACGTACCGAAAATATTTTTTATTTTCGGGCTGGTAAGCTTCCCCTTAAGAATATCTGTACAGTTCAAAACCGGAAATTGCACGCGTGACAATAAGGTAATCCAAGAGACGTTTCTCAGTGGAACTGACAGCTAGAAATCAAGAGTGTGTGAGTGATCTGGTGTTAATGTTGCTGAATGTAAACATAAACAAAGCAGAAATTCATATGAAAGTGAACTGTCAGTTCTACTGTGATCTGTCAAAAGTTCGTGGTAAACAAAAAAGTCAGCTGATCGCAACTGTCTCGTCGATTTGTTATCGATTTGTTCTGTACATCATACCGAGCATCAAACATACACACTTAAACTTTTTCGCCGAGATTTCAACAGCCGAGTACCTATTTCTGCAATTTATTTTGCTGAGATTCAGTAAAACAATTGCCGAGACTCAGCTAACAAACAGATATTTTGTAGAGATATCAGCAAAAGTAAATGTCGAGGTAATCGGCTGTTGGAGATTTTACCGAGCTAGAATAAGTGTGTAGTGTCGGACATAGTGCGCTGTATTCGCACAATGATGCGATATATGAGCTCTATGTTCGACGTATGTTTAACGTACAGAACGAGAGTAATATCGTAATATCAAATGTCGTGTGTGGGGTTTTCCGGTGTCCAACTTGCCCGACAATACCGTAAATCGGAGGCAAATTGATCACTGATTAAAGTAAATATAGAAATAAATTTCTACGAAAAATGACATTGATATATTAATAGTAATAAAACCACTCTGTCGTTCAGCATAATAACTCATCAAATTTAATATTTTGATAATTTAAGAATTTTTTTGAAATTTTTTGCACTCTTCCTGGTAAATTTACTGGTTCATGGTCCCGAAAGTTTCGCTTTTCAGCCCACAACTGCAGATTGCTTGCCAGACAAGGAACTTGTTGGGGAATTATGACTTTTTTATTTTACATTCTTCCGGGGCACTCTTCCGGTCAGCCGAGGTATTCAATTCCCGCCCATAAATTTGATCGAAAACTGATTTAAACAAATGAAATTAACCTGACAACCAATGACTACTATAATTCTAAAAACTCTGAAAAAAATACTCAAAAAATGGCAACGTTTTTAATTTGATCGGATTTTTTCGTGTTCAACCTTTAATTATTCAGTGATCGACAAGTTTTTATTGATCATTGTGCTGTCCACATGTTGTATTCTAGGTTAGCTCAGATGGCAGAACAAACGGCTGGTAATCGGGAAGGTAAACGGTTCGAACCCCACTCAGCGACATATATGTAGGTATTAAATTTTAAATTCACTGTGCGTGTGTGTGCGTGCTCTTCGTCAGTATCAACAAAAAAGCAATCACTAAAAACCCCTGTTCCCAAGGGGTAAGCCACTCAGCATATTGTGCCGAAATTATATTCGGCACACCTTCGACACAATCTCGTAGGCATTGGATTGTTGTAAATAAAATGGGATCACTGAACGACAATTGTCATTGAAGTTTTTCACAACATTACATGCTGTTTGATTGTATATTCAGGAACATCCTCTAATTTAATATATCAGAGGAACTCAAACCAACAGTTCACTTCTCGCTTCACTTATAGATTTAATTCCGAAATGTAGGTAATAGCGTGGGCTCGACAAAAAGCGGCAGTTAATCAAACCCTATTAGTACCCTTAATCAAAAAAATGCTGTAATTCACACAAAACAAACTACAGAAGTCAAATTCATCATCCTCCATATTCGGTCTCCAACAGTGTCCCCCACCGGTTCCAACTCTTTCCGGCCGATGATAGACCGTTGCTTTTCACATCACGAAAGGCTAGGTTTCTGGTCTGCCTTTGAGGGCAATATACAACCCATAATCGCATATCAGTCCCATCTTTGCTTGATTTCCTATCCACATGGGACTGATAGGCGATTATGGGCAGTATACAACTCTAATTCACAGGACTTTTATTATCCTATGAAAACAATAAAAAAAAATCGCACACATGCCACTTCCCGCGTCATCATCAATCGGCTGGCGAACGAATACTATGAATTTGAGCATCATCTACATTCGATCAGATACATGTAGAATCAGGTCCGATCAGTTCCAATGGGATAGTAACCACATCTACATTTATGGGAGAATTTTTCTTCACACACGTCCGACGGTGGTAGTATTTTTCTATGTCATTTTCTTGTTTAGACATTGCATTCCTCATTGGTTGCCACTACTGTGTTACCTGACTTATACCGAATATATGTTGCATACGAGAACCCCGAATGCAACGTATAGTTCGTCTAATTTTACATTGCAAATGCAGTGAAACCTTAGACTCATATGTCATACGTTGTATTCGGGGTACTCTTCTGTGAATATAGACAAACAGACATAACACATTGAATATTTCTAACTATAAAACTAAAAAATTACCGCCATCTGTTGAGTACACTGTCGTGGGTAGTACGCTGAACAGATAGCAGTAGTGTGTAAACGTCAAACGCAAGGGAACTGACTATGCACGCCAAAGGTGGAGGTACTTCCAACTACGACACTTTTAAATTGGCCGTTAAATGCTTGTTCGATGAACAACTTGCGAATGTTATGTCTGTTTGTCTGTGGTATATTCGTTATAAGTCAGGTAACACAGTAGTCTGATTTATCCTTGCGATTTCAAACCAAAACTTTCAAGGTGTCAGGAATAAAGTTGGTAAAGGCACAGCTACAAAGCAAGACCATGCTGCAGGCGGCTGGGTTCGAATCCCGGGCCAATCTAAAAATTTCTTGACTTCTCTGGGCATAGAGTATGATTGTACTTGCCACACAATTATTATTATACGAAAATCGAAAGCTCTCAAATAATAACTGTGGAAGTGCATCTAGAACACTAAGTTAAAAGCACGCAATAAACTAATATGCCATAAGCAATAAGCAAATGCGAGGAGGAGAAGAATCAAAAATTTGATCGAATATGCTTTGCTACAACTCATGTATAGTCGAATGAAAGCATCTCCGAATTTGTGTTAACTACGCCTGAACAGAAGTCATTATGGAAAATAGTACAGCATGCAATTGAATAAAATCAAAAAGCCGTTCCTTCAATAGATCGTTTGTTGAGATTTGTTTTGCGTATGAGAAAAAACTTACCCATCCCTCACATTTATTTTAGCGATGTCGAAAACAACATCGAAGCGCATCTATGTACCGCGGACCCTCGGTAATCTGATCCTTTTCAATCTGAACACTTTTTAGGTTGAACCCCGCTAATCTGCTGGCGCCGGTGGTGTAGTGGTAAGCGTGACTGCTTTCTCACCCCAATGGGTCTGGGTTCAATCCCAGCCGAGGTCGGTGGGATTTTTCTCAGGCATAAAAATCTCTGGTCACGTCTTCCTTCTGAAGGGAAGTAAAACCGATGGTCCCGGCCCACGTGTGTTGATGAATAGGTGAGATATCCTACGCAGGTGTGGAAGCTGCCTTCCTGTACATTCGATTGCCGTCAATGGATGGCGATCGATGTCCGTCGGTGATTGGCACTAGATAGCGGAACAGAGATCGACGTTAAAGAAAGGAAAGAAGAAGAAGAACCCCGCTTTTTTTCCTCTTTTCGGGACCTAACACCACTGCGAGCAGTAATTAGATCTATTGTAGTACATCCCGTGTCCTTAGTTTAGTGCATGTCCTATTAATCTAACGATTTTTAATTAGCTCACTACTTGACTAGCCTATTGGTCCCAAGCAAATCTATTAATGCATCCCATTCTAGACGAAATTCTAGTACTACACTATATTTGTTTCGATTCGCTATGAAAGTTTGACAGATAAAATGAGGGGTTTGTGGATTTTTGTATGTTACGAGGGGTGTATAGATTAGCTTGGGACCGAAGATAGTACCAGAGCTGAGCCAAAAAGTTGAGCACGTTTCTTCGGGACCATCTGGTCTTAGAGATACCTCTACGGTATTACCATAGAGGTAACTCTAAGACTAGAAGGTCCCGAAATATCGTGCTCAACTTTTTGGCTCAGCTCTGGTACTCTCTTCGGTCCCAAGCTAATCGATTCACCCCTCAAAACACAGGAAAAACCAATAACCCCTCATTTTATCTGTCAAACTTTCATAGCGAATCAAAACAAACATTGTGTAGTACTAGAATTTCGACTAGAATGGGGTACGTTAATCGTTTGCTTGGGACCAATAGGCTAGTCAATTAGTGAGCCAATTTAAAATCGTTAGTTTCATATTGATTGTTGGTACACAGCAAAAAAAGTTGTTGAATATTACATCGAAACTGCTGCAACCAGGTCAATCCATCGGTTGTGTAATATCACATTGTACGATGTACATCGATTTTGCGAACAAAATTACATCCATTGATGTAATATTGTATCTGCTTTTTGCTATTTCATCATTATTTCATACATCAGCTTGAATTACGTTGATCGATATTACTTTTTTTTTGCTGTGTATTACTCCATCACTATTGAGAAATGATGAAGTATTCGATTTTTTTACAGTTGTCATTCTTGCATTTATCGCAAGGATCCGACTCTAATTGAAAGGTCCCGCTCTTTATACCCTTCGGAATGTTGAAACACCCTCCAAAGGCGCGCCCCTCTGTCAGTCAAAATTGGTTTTCTTAGCAACAAAATTAAGGAATGATACCGATAATGACCATGCATCAGAACCCTAGTCTTAACCGCTTCAAACTAGAGATCAACGAATAGAAGATTAGGAATCACATAGATAAAGACTAACTAACTCATTTTTTCCTTGTTTCAAGATCATCCTCGGTGGGCAAAGCCGAGTCTTGTCACTATCAACAAGGCATAAAAAGTAACAAGGACTAAGATGTGTTCCTTGTATTAGTGAAAAATATTGTTCCCCTAGTTTGAAGTAGTCAGGACTAGGAATCGGTGGTGGATCTTACATCCCGTAACGTACCACGAAAAGGTGATCTACCCACGTTACGGGGCTAACTAATCTGCACGCCGTGCATACTAAAAATTGCTCAAACGTCATTTAGCACATGGAATGGAGAAACACGAAATGGAACGATGCGAAACGGAATGCAGATTCAAAACAAAACAGCAAATAAAAGTTCAAATTAAAAATGAACCCCGTTAAAATGCACGAAGTATCGTTCAAATTAACGGGGGTCCACGGTTTTCAAAAACAAGCATTTTGAACTTTGGATTCATGCGACACCTAGTTTTAATATCCGCGATTACAAAAATGATGATGTAATACAAAAATGTCATGCAATTGGACAGATATCAAAACATCATTAAAATGTCCACTCATTCGCCATCTGTGAGTCAATCGTCACTTTGATTCTTCAATAGGAAAATTTGGCAATCGTTAATTTTTTTTTCTCAACATTTACAACCGTGTTGGTAACTTTTCATGGAGTACGATCCGTAGATAGGTAAATTTGTTTCCACTGTATTAAATATTGCTAAATCGAATGACCATTTTCCAATAACCGTAATTTTTTTAATAACAAATTAGAAAGTGATGAGCGGGGGGTTAGTAAAAATTTCAAAAATCCGTAGAAATACCACAGACAAACAGACATAACACTCGCAAGTTGTTCATCGAACAAGCATTTAACGGTCAATTTAAAAGTATAGTAGTTGGTAGTACCGCCGCCTGTGGCGCGCATAGTCATTTCCCTTGCGTTTGACGTTTACACACTACCGCCATCTGTTCAGCGTACTACCCACCACAGTGTACTCAACAGATGGCGGTAATGTTTTAGCGACGATGTTTTACAGGAGAAATATTCAATGTGTTATGTCTGTTTGTCTGTGGAAATACTTTAACTTGTAACTTGTAGACCAAGCTAAATAGCCAAATAAAATCAATATGTACAATAAAAAAATTTAAAAATTTAATCAATTAATTCACTCGCGCGAACTCCACAGAAACAAAATAGTCTTCCTCGGATGGCACATGGATTGCTGAACGAGTATAAATTACCAAGTGGCTCTGCACGCAGACTCAAAACTGAAAGCAGTACACTCAAAATAATTTTCACGTCAATGCTACGTGAAAACATACATAGATTTTTTCCATCGTACTTTTCACCTAAGTGTTATGTTATTCTCATATGAAAGCACTCATTTCAGTGAGCAAGATGGTCACGGGATTATCCCGTAGAAGTTATTTGATTTTTTTGATGGAATTCATGGTAGTTTTCAATGATTTTTATGCCGGTTTAAATTAAATATTTTTCTTGATTTCAAATGAAGAAAAATAAGAAGATCCTACAGTATTCCTTGACCATTGTATCATTATTGTGGAAAATATTCACACAGAAGAAGAAAATAATTCGCGCGAAACTGGACTCGAGAAGGATATGGGACACATATGATACAAAGGCATTTAACTCGCATTTCAATACAAATCACGTACGTTCTATTAAAAAACCTAGGGAATATAAAGGGTCTTTCCGTTGATACATATGGGGTATCACGTAGACTCTACTTGTGTCACGTAAATTTAAGATAAAAGTGAAAAGATAGACTCCAAGTGGTTTTTCAGGTAACAATAACGTGTCGATTATTTTGAGTGTAGAACGAACGAGGGATAAACTGAAAGACAGCCGAACAAGTTGCTCTACCAAGGGAAAACCCAATTGAAAGCGTAAAAACCGAACACTTGCGATTTAAATCAGCGAATGAAACATTTGATGACTCAGTGAATTGACCACAGCATTTTTACAGTATTTGCATTACAGTTTAAGTGTATGAGCTGTAATACTGTTTTCCGTATTAATATCAATTTATATGTGTCAAGTTATGTTTAAAGCGGAGGCAACATATCAATGAAATGTTGTCTTCGATTAAAGCCAAAAAGTTAAAAAAAAGTGATCTTCAAGTCATGCACGACACCATCTATTTCAAATGTAATAAAGTTTAAAAAAAAAAAGCTTGCCAGTGCGCCACCGGTGCCCGAAGGGTTAACGTTACTCACGTGGTGCAATCGGTGCAATGATCTTACGTGCAGCGCGCAAGTACCCATACGATGCATTTTTGAATCTCTTTGTTTATTTTCTCTCCCGCTCTCGACTCTTTTTAACGGCAAAAAGAGCGCCGCCAAGCACGTTTTACTCTTTTTAATCTGTGGGTTGCACTGTTCCACATGCTTCATAAACTTTCGGCCCGAGATTCTAGAGCGCGCATACCTACTTCAAATGCTGATGGAGCTTTTTGAAGTTTCCTCTCACGTTTGTTCGTCGTGGCTTCAAGAGTATCCAACGTGGGTAGACACCTGAAAAATTTCTTTTTATTGGTGAAGAAACTCGGGAGATACCTACCTTAAAGCACTCTAGTTAAAGTGTGGACGACTGTCACCACAAAACTGAAAAAAGCTGTTCCAATCGAGCAAAGCGGTGCATTTTGACGGTTCGATTGGAACAACTTACGACGTCCATACTTTTACTGTAGGGCTTCAACCTACCTTGGTCATCTTGGATGGATCCGGACGGATCAGTCCGTGGCGTGGGGAGAGTGAAAGAGCAAAAGATTGTGGGTATGTGTGTCAGACCGTTGTGGATCCGCTGCTTTTTACTCAACCGAAGAGGGTCTCTGTTGGCTCGTCAGCTGCGTTGACGAGGTGAGATGGAGCAAGCGATAAAATAGCATGGCATGCCGCGCGCGACTTAAACGCAATCTCCGATACACGAATAGCTGAGCTGGGCTCCTTTTCTCAGTAGGCGCCGATTCGGTCCGCGCGATCAGTTAGTCTTCATCGGTTGCTTAGACGGTTCGGAAGTGAATGAGCTCTCCTGCTCTCAAAGATTAGTTTCTAGTTTGTGTTTTCAAAACCTGGGGGCTGCATCGCGATCGATGTTGTGTTTGTTCGAAAACAAGAAGTATTGTTGAATAAAACGGTGACACAAAACTATGTGCGTGACAAATTACATAATTTATAAATGATACTAGTGTGCTGTGCATTTAACTGTATGCACTATTGCAAAGCTCTGTCGTTGACATTGCGTGAAATAAATATTCAAGTGTGTGGTAGCTTATCTACAGTATCTGTGGTTCATTGAGCAATACCAGTTATTTACATTTTGGTGATTTTTTTTTTTTTCAAGTGAAAATAGTGACTAAGGTATAGTGAAACTATAACTAGTTTATATTAGGGTGACAGAAAAGCTTAATTTCTGTTGCAAACGATACCTAAAACAAAGGAGCAGAAGCATCAAAAAGTGTTTTTTTTTTGTCGATGTAATAATACTTGAAGTGAAAGCAACATGTGAAAGCAGATACTCGTCTCTGCCTTCCTCCACCATTGAGAAGAAAAAAAGTCAGTTGTTTACATTTTGAGCTGGAGCTTTTATTTACTCGTGCAAGCGATTGAATCAATCTTTCGTTCCGTTTTGTTCGCTTACCGAAAGGCTGGTGAAGCATTTTTGTTTAAGAAAAGGAAAAATTGCATAGACCAAATCACTGACATTTTTCCTATCCTTGAGCGAATAGCTGCACCCAAGTAAGGGATGAAAGTGAAGCTGCCTCACGTTTCATAAATGAGAGGCACGTCGTTCAATCTACTATTGAAGTCGATCGAAGTGACTAAAGACAGAGAGGGAGAGTAGCGCGAGTAGCAGTCATTGCAGTACGTCCCGGTGTCCCCAGCGACTAGTCCGTAAATGATGTTATTGGCAAAAGCTGTGCTGGTGTGCTGTTTCACGATTTTCGCCGAACTCAGCTTGATTGAAGGTAAGGAAGTCGTTGTCGTTGTGGGCGAAAGCTGAACCGATGTGGTATAGGCACCCCCCAAAATAACCTGCCTGCATGTAATGTTGCATGTGCACGCGCTGCTTCTCGGATTAGTGGACACTCTGAGCCGTGGTGGTCACGACTTGTCGAGAGTAATGCCTGACCTGCTGCCAGGGTTGCCAAATTGAAATCTGTGTTTTTACTCAAAAAATGTTGTCAGCTTCTTTTGAGCTGAAAAAAAAATGTGATTGACATACACTCAGAATTTTTTTCAATGTTACATGAAAACATATATAGATTTTTTCCATCTAGTTTTTCACGTAAATTTTACGTTTTTCATATGTAGATTGGTTCTAAAGTTTTAATTTCAATCCACATAAAACTGTAATAGGTAGTATAGGCTTTTGAAGTAAATTTCACTTTATTTTCATGTGAAAAGATTTTTTCCCAATTCACTAGAAACCAACATAGATTTTATAGTACTTTCTAAGTGAATTTTACTACACTTTAACTTAAATTTTAGTAAATTTTTTCATAGCATCCAAACTGGCGTGGCTAGGCGTTCTAAAATGAGTTTTCGAAATAATAAAAATAACTGGATAGATATTTGTATATTTATTTTATTTTTCAGCTTAATGTAGATGGTTTCTTATATTTATTTACACGTTATTTTACAAGTTATTTTTACACACAAAAAAACTTATTTTCAATCCATTGTAATGCAACTGGGATGCTCTTGGCAGAAAATTCAACAAATCCAATGGAATTTGCAATTTTAGCAATTGGTCGTCAGCAATGCACCGTTCGGACGCCGTGTTAGGTTTTGTTTGTGTAATCACCACTCAGAAATTTTCACACTATAAATTCATGTAAAATCTAAGTGAAATTATCTTACATGAAATTCATTTGAAATTTATACATATTTCATATAAGTTTCAATGCTTATCACATTGCTTTTAATATGAATTGTTATGAATTTTATTAACGTCATGTACTTTTCAGATAATTTATAATATCTGAAGGTTACGTGTTTTTTTTTCCAGTGAAAGTTATGTGACGAATTTTTTGAGTGTAGGGAAAAATAATTCATCTTTTTTTTGATTCTAGATGAAAATTTCAAAAGGTCCTATCTGATTTGATCGAATCTCTTCATCGACTTTTTCTTTCGTTAATAACTCAGCTACACTGTTGCATTTGGCGTTCTGAACACTAGATAAGAACTTCTTTTATCAAATTTTATGACGAAAATAGCACAAAATATGTTTGTACAGCTCGATTCAGCGTGACATAATTAATTAATGGGCCCTAAATGCTTCAAATCACAATTTTAAACAAAATATTTATACCGTAATGCATACCAAACGGTTCCATAATCATGACATTCAATTTTTGATTAATTATGACGTCCACTTTGCAACACGATAAATATGTGGTCAGTTTTAAAATGCACGTGCTATTTCGAGCATGGTAGGCATTGATAATCAACTTTAAAAAGTGTCTGTATTTACGTGCTTTACGGTAATATGTGCATTACCTAAATATCTGTAATCTGTCAAGTATCTGGTAAAAAAAAACACTGAAAAATCTGTAGAAATACAGATTGATCTAAAGTTTTGGCAACCCTGCCTGCTGCATGCATGTGTTGCACAAGACGAAAATATGAAAAAAATAATTGTTGTTCGTTTTAACTGTCTTTGATTTGTTCGGAAGCTTTGACGATCGAACAATGTCGCAAGTACTTACCTACATCGCCAACCGTCAAACGTAAAATATGGTTCATTCATTAGTAGAGCTGCGCCGCCCGGTTTATTTTTTGATTTTACTATTTCGAGGCCAGCAACGGCCGTTGTACCAGTGGGCAAAAAATGATATTAGCACGTTCCTTCTACCACTTGCTTTACAACAACTGCAATTAGGTATTTAACGAAGGGTGCTCAGAATTATTACATCTAGCTGCTGGTGCATTTGAACAATTTGTATTTACGATTGTGCAATGACAAATACAAATATTAGAAAATAGACATTATGAGTTTGATCTTGAGGTTCCGATTCATACAGTTCTTTACGTGATTGTATAAAACATTTGTTTACGTTATAAGTGTGAAAAGCGCATGGCTACGAACATGCTTGAGTTTATGAGTAAGCTGCATAATATTTGTTTCACAAATATACCCAACTAGTAAGAAGGTTGATCTACAGAGGCAAAAGACTTTCCAACGAAAATTCTGTTAACAAAATAAATGGTGTTTCTGGTTATCGTTACATATACGAAGGCATTTCGTTCAATCGAGGCTTAAGTTTTTATATACAATAATTGAAGAGGAAAAGAGCATACTAATACCAACGGGTCCAGTAGTTTCAATTTACTTAGGAGGTAGTTAGCCTAATTCTTTTTCGTGGAGAATGATTTCCCTCCATTAGCACCAGATATAAAGTCCGTTCGTTATTGAAATCCCATCTGCAGCATCAGCTTGTCGATTTCACCTTCATGGACGGCTAGTTATATTTGCATACCTTTAGTTGACGCATCTACTATTTGCATAATGAAACGAACCCGACGCAGTTGATAATCTTTTAATGCCTCTAACACAGAGAGGCACGAGCATAAATCTCTACACCCAAACCTAGCGACCTTGAATGAAAATGAATGTACAAGGATTTTAGAATCTGAATCATAGGCGACCACTTAGGGAAAATTAGCTTGAACTATGCAAAAACAGAGTTCACGACGCCGGGATGTTCTGATGCATAACATCTCTGATCACGCCTTCCTTCAGCAGGAAAGTAAAGCCGTTGGTCCTCGTTTCATGAGTTGATGGGCGATAGGTAGGGTCCCTGGCGTTAGTAGCATTGGTGCTCAGCACGGAAAACAACATCGACGGAAAACAAATCAAGGACAAAAAAAAAACATGAAAAGTATCAAATAATTTAGTATGATTTTTCAAATATTTACATGGGAAGTGCAATTCGTCACTACAACTATTATTTTCTCAATGTCTGTCCATATGGGACTGATGAGGGATTATACTGCCTATAATCCTATATGGAAACAGTAGGCATTGAGAAAATGGGAGTTGAAGTTACGAAGTGCAATTCCCATGTAAATATTTGAAAAATCATAGAAAATCAATTGATAATTTATTCAAGTGAAAATCAGTTGCAATGAAGCTTGCATGTTTTGTTATAAAAGCGAAAAATATGGCAATTCGAAGAGCAGAACTTTAACTTGAACTTATGGATGATTGAACTTCAGGATGGGAATATGCGATTATTATGTTTGATAGGACATTCTGACTTGTTGTTATTTTCACATTTTTCATGATCATAGTCCGTAGTTTTATGACATAATATGAAAGTAGATGCCATCCAAGTGTATCCGCGGCATAAGAATAGGCATTTCTGGTCTGCACTGAGATCTAGAAAGAAATAAAGTAAATTTTGCGGTTTCATGGCAACATGACGCATGCTGCGATTTTTATCAAAAATGAAGTGCCAAAACAACATTAAATTTTGATTTTGTATACTTGCAAAACATTGTGTTTTGGCAAAAATGCGGCCCTACGATGTGATGATTTTTTGTTACATCAAGAGCCACATGTGAAAAGGGCATACAAGCTTTTTCTAAACAAACCTTTGTAGGCCCTTTTCTCGCCAACCGAAGGTCGCCCACGCAAACCAGCAATATTATTGGGAAGGGGAAAGTGTCCCCTACCCGGCGATGTTAAAGGTTTGCGTTGGTGTCATATGGGTTGCGAGAAAAGGGCATCCCTAATAAAAATTGTATGGTTAATTTGCTTAACGACGTGTTCTGGGTATCATCCAAACCATTTATGGAATAGTTCAATGATTTGGGTTATCGTTCGTTTATGGTTATTTTTTATTAGGGATAAGAAGGTTTGTTTACAATGAGCTTATATGCCCTTTTCACATGTTGTTCTAGATATACGAGGATTAAATTGGAAAACATCGGTAGACTGCACGAGAACTCTTTTCCGACACTGTTAACTGCTTTTGTTAGCTCCAAAAGGCATCCTGCCTTACTCGGAGGAGAAACTGAAAGTAGCTAAATACATAAGGTGCTTTTCTTAAATTCCAAACACGAACACATAATTTGATTCACAATAATTACTCTACATAATGTAAACAAAAACATCGGAAGCAAAACAACGAACAGTGATGGCAGTCCCGTTGTGGATCGCATCGTAACTATTGCACCGGGGGGCATTTTTTGTTGCCACTTTCTACATTCAAATATGGTAGATTTGATTGTGGCGCCGATGGTACGATACAACACATGGAAAACAAAACAACTCAAAATCGATATAGAAAGCCATAAAAAATAAGAACTTTCACAAGACTAGTGTTTTGAGTACAACCCTAACAAACAATTGCCTATTGAAGAAACGACTTCTTGACGATTTTATTCAACTGCATGCTTAATAATACTGGTACTATTTTTAATAATAACTTCTGTTCAGGCTTTGTTCACACAAATCTGAAGAATTCATTACACAACACAACATCGAAATATTTGGTGGTGTTGAGTAAGATATGTCGAGAAGCTTTTATTCAACTCAGAAGAGTTGTAACAGAGATTATTCGAGCAAATGTTTGATTATTCAGCGTTTATTGGACATCATTGCTTCCTTAAACAACGATAGTATAAAGGTGTATAAAGGGTGTCCACGATGAAATTGCCACACTATGAAATTGCTCTAACTTTTTAACCGTTGTTTGTTCACACAAATCTGAAGAATTCATTACACAACACAACATCGAAATATTTGGTGGTGTTGAGTAAGATATGTCGAGAAGCTTTTATTCAACTCAGAAGAGTTGTAACAGAGATTATTCGAGCAAATGTTTGATTATTCAGCGTTTATTGGACATCATTGCTTCCTTAAACAACGATAGTATAAAGGTGTATAAAGGGTGTCCACGATGAAATTGCCACACTATGAAATTGCTCTAACTTTTTAACCGTTGGGTAGAATTTAATG